TTTGTGATGTGCTTAAAAATCCTGGCTTTTTGTGCTGGAGCCTAACCACTTTTCTTTCTTGTAATATTTTAAGTATATCATTAATTATTAATAAATAAATGAATTGCTATTTATATCTAATTATTTTTATTTATTATATTGCATCTGGTATTTTATTATATGGGTGGTGGTTGACATTGACATTAGAGGGTAGAAGTTTTCCTAGGTTTCTTTACCTAATTTTGGATTGTTATGTAAAAATTATTTGAAATTTGGGAGCCTGACTGTTATGTAAAAATTATATTAATATTCTATGCATAAATTCCTATGGAAATTTTTATTTTTAGGTAACATTGTGCAAGAATATCTTAGGAAGAGGACACAAAGTAGGAAGTTCTAAATCAACCCTGCAACACTTAGAAACTTTATATTGCAGTTCTGTCAGTGCCTCATCCCCACTCTTGAGCACCGAACACCATTTGGTTCAATGATTTTGTAAATTAATTAATCACCCTCGCATCTATACCTAAAGCATCATAGTGTTCACAGTACCCCAATGCCAATTTGGAAGCACCATCATACCATTGAGTTCTATAATTTTTCATATTAATTTAAGCACCGATGTCATTATCTAGAGTGCCCCAGAGCTACAAAGTTCCTCATCTCCCATTTATATTTAACATTACAGTGCCATGTGCACAAGGGTACCAATTCACCTGTAGAACCATAGTGGAGAAGTTAGAGAATTTCACTATTGAAGCATTATGTTGATTAAACCCAATATCATGGTGGAGCCCAACATTGAGCACTGAGGTGCTAGTTCATTCATTAAGCACCACTGCACCAATCTCTTGAACATCACAATGCCTTTATTAATTATGTACTAAGTATAAATAATTTTCTTTTTGAATTATGTCTTGTTAGCCATTTTTTTTTGCACAAAATAGTAAGAGAGTGGGAGTTAAGTGTGGAGAGTGATAATTCTGAAGGGAAATAAAATTGAGAAGCAGTTATTATTTGAAATTTATTTTAAAAGCTAATCTAGGTGATATTTTCTCCACTTAAACTCTTGTAACTTGTTGTAGTATATATAGTGAACTCTATTTTTTTTTTAAATTATCTCTATGGCTGACTAATTCTTATTTTTGATCTTATGAAGCAAAAGACATATGTTCTCTTTATGGACTCTAGTAAATGTAATGATTTATAGTTATTTTCAATCACCACTGATCTTAATTTAATTAATGCAATGGCCATATTTAAATTTAAAACTTAGGATGAGTCATTACCTCGATGGATGAATGATGGAATAGTTAGGATTGAAATTGAAAATTTTCATACCTAGACATAGGATGAATATGCTTTTTTAGTCTAAGAATATAAAATTACTATACTAAGGAGAGAACTTACACCCTTACAACCTTGATAGAGATCTAAGGTATGCTCTTGTTCACAACATGTCTTAGAAGAGTCTACTTAGGAAAATATTACATCTTTCATCATCATAAGTTCAAAACTTTTTTATTTAATTAAGTTATCAATTTAGTAATTACAATAGTTTTGTAGAAAATTAATTTCAACACAATTTAGAAGGCTAAATTTTGCTATTTGAAGTAGATAATATTAGGGGAATTCAAAGGACATAATTTACTAAGTGGCATCGGCACTCTACTCTAAACATTATTACTTGACCGACACTTGCACTTGTGTAGAAAATAACAAGTTTGTCAATTTTTGGCATGATTTTCATGGATAAGCTTCATATCATACTTATTAATTTATATTATTAAAAAAAGTATCATATTTAATCTTTCTTTTCTTTTGTTTTTTTTTTCTAGTTTCATTGCAAGTGTTATCATTTATTTTGTGCATCATTTAAGTATTTTTAAAAACTTCTATGAATTTATTTTTGGCTTTATATTTCATTCAACATTTGTGGCTTGTGATTGTGCATATTTAGTTAATCCAACAAGGGAAACCTATTGTTTGATATTGAAATAGAAAGGACCCTTAAAAAATTTAGTAAAATCCAAATGGCCCAGGTTTCATAGATGGCTAAACCAAATCAGGATCAAGACTAACTTTGGACACTTAGGGAGTACACTAACCCTTTAGTAGAAGGTTTTCACCATAGTATTTATAGACCAACCGTTCAAGTTAATAATTTTTATATAAAACCTGTGATCATTCAAATGGTTCAAAATTCATAATTTGGGCGAACTTGAGGATCCCAACTTACATAAAGCCAAATTTTAGAGATTTGTGAAATAGTTAAGTGTAATGAAGTCTTAGATGATACTTTTAGACTTGTTTTGTTTACCTTTTCATTACGCAATAAAGCTAAGATGTGATTGAATTTTCTTCCCCTAGGATCTACAACCACTTAGAATTATCTTACCGATAAATTCCTAGCCAAGTATTTCACTCCTTCAAAGACATCTAAACGTAGGAATGATATCACTTTATTTACCCAATTGGATGGAGAGTAAATTTGTAAAAGTTGGGAAAGAATTAAGAATATGCTTAGGAAATTCCCTCACCATGCTTTGCCTGATTAGTTAATTATCCAAACTTTTATAATGGATTAGTAAGATCCCTTAGATCCATCATTGATGTAGCAGCTGGAGGGTCTTTAATATCAAAGCCTTTTGATGAGGCATATGCCTTAATTGAGGAACTGGAAATAAACAATTTCCAATAGCCTTTAGATATGGTGAATCCTAGGAAGATAGCCAATATTCATGAGTCGAGTGCTTTTACAAAGTTGACTACCTTGATAGTAGCCATTTTTAAGAAGTTTAACCACCTTAATATTAATTAAATCTAAGGATCACCTAAGCCTTTAGATGAAAATATGTTTAGTCCTTCCAGTGATCCAAGTGTTTAAGGTTTTGAAGCTTTAAATGTTATTAATAGACCCAACAATCCTTATTCCAGTATCAATAATCCAAGTTGAAGGAATCACCCAAAATTTTGTTATAGTAATAATAATAATGGTAAACATTAGTAGAATGTTATTCAAACCAACCCTATAGAATCTTGGCATAATTCTCAACAACCTTTTGAAAACCCTATACCTCCTTATCACCCAGGCTTTAATCAAAATAACTAATATAAGGATAGAGTATATCTTTGGAAAATTTAGTGCTACATATGGGGAATCTATTGTAGAGTCAAATTGTTGTCATTCAAAATTTAGAAACTTAATTAGGGCAATTAGCTTGATCAATTAATAGTATACCCCATGATGTTTTTTCTATTGCCATTGAAGTAAACCTTGAGGAGTTGTGTAAAATCATCTAATTGAGGAGTGAAAAGGAATTAGGAGATCTCGGGATAAAATGGTGGTTGAAGAAGTTTATGTGAAAATCCCACATAAGGAGCAACCTGAGTGAGCAAGGAAGTTAAAAAACTCATTAGGAAGGTTGTAGATAGGTCATCACACCTTTTCCACCCAAGGAGTCAATGAGGTTTGCATAGTATAATGTGAATATTTTTTTATGTGGTGTGTGATGATTAAGGAATAACTACTACTAAGAAAACAACATTAAACAAATAACAAACATAAATAAAAAAACAAAAATATAAAAATACACAAAACACATAAAATCTCAAGTTATTGATTTCATCTTACCCTGAATAAAGCATGAATGTCAATGAAACCTAATATTGTCCTCAATGTACCAAAGATGTCATAGCTCAAGGGTTTGTTAAAGATGTATATCAGTTGATCATCAGTTGAACATGATGTAACTCAATATCTCCCTTAGTAATATGATCTCTAATGAAGTTGTGTCTGATGTCTATATACTTAGTACATAAGTATTGGATAGGATTCCTGGAGGTGAATATGATATTAATATTGTCACATATAATTTGAATAGTGTCAACATAGAGCACAAGCTCAAGGACTTATTTCTTTAGCCATAAGACTTAAGCAACATAACTTCCTATAGCAATGTATTATGCCTCAATGGTGGATATAGCTATATAGTTTTATTTTCTATTAGATTAGGAATTCAAAGATTGACCTATGAATTAATAGGTTCAAGAGGTGCTTTTTTTATCAATCATATATCCTATAAAGTCTTAGTCTGAACATCCAATGATTTTAAATGAGGAATTATATCTAGGGTACTAGATAATTAAATTTTGGGTGCCTAGAAGGTATCTAAGGATTCTCCTAATAGTTGTCATATGAGATTCCTTATGATATACTTGAAATCTAGTACATAGACTAACAGTAAACATAATGTCAAGTTTGATAGCAGTCGAATACACAAGTGATCCTCTTATACCCCTATACTTCTTTTAATCTATTGACTTTCTACTTGCATCTTTATCTAATGGAATGGTAGAGCTCATAGTGTATTATTTGCTCTAGCAATTTCTTTCTCATATTTCTTTAGAATACCTTTGATATATTTACTTTCTTAGAAAAGTTCCATCATCTATTTGCTTTACACTAAAATCAAGAAAAAAAATCAGCTCTCCCATCATACTTAATTCAAATTTTCCACTCATTATTCCTAAAAATTCATTATAAAAATTTTCATTTGTTCATCCAAATAATATATATATGAATAATTAGTAAATCGTCAAATTTGATCCGAATAGTATCGGATCAGTTTCAAATTTGTTTCGAATCTAAACTATGATATGATATTGACACCCCTACTTAGATATGAACACTCACGTGCTCCACTAGTCTTGCTAAGGGCATCTCCAACCGAAAACTTTATTTTTCACGGCAAAATAACGCAAAACTCCAAAATGGCGCGGTGATGCTCCAATCTAACGCCATTTTAGGTGTTTTTGAGAAGGTAACGATCGCCCTCCCTTTCGCGCGTTTTTTCGGTTGAGAGCAAAAAATGGCGTGAGTGAATAGTGCGACGCCAATATTGGCATCGCACTGTTCATCCGCGATCAAATGGCGTAAAAAATGACAAGGTTGGAGCAAAACAAGAACGGTTCGGTTGGAGATGCCCTAAGCAAGATTTGAGTAGGAGGGCCAAGCCCGACGAACGTAGCACTGTACTTGCGACCCGACCTAGCGCTTTCCAAGTGCTCAAGAGACGAGCGGGGCACAGATGCAAGTATTCTTCGTCTCCCAGCAGCGAGAAAGCTTGCTTTCGTATACTGCTCGCTTTTCTATTTAGCATTCGTAGATTTACTGCGAAGAGTTTTGTGTGTGTGTGAAAAGAAGGGATCGAAAATGGTGGTTCGTTCGCTGGACAACGTAGTGATAAAGTCTCCGACGGATCAGCGAACTTATCGAATCCTTCATCTCGCCAACGGCCTCACAGCCGTTCTCGTTCATGACCCCGACATATTCCCCGACGTCGCCCTTCCGGGAGAATACGAAGCGGATACCCGAACCCGTGCCTTAGATTCAGAGGATGACAGCATGGAGGATGACGGCGATGACGACGAAGTGGACAGTTGCGACGAAGAAGATGAAGAGGAGGAAGACGAAGCAGGTGCTGGAGGCAAGAGCGAGGGAAGGACGAAAAAGGTGCTACTCTCACCAAAAAGGTTGTATTGTAGAAACCTGATTTACTTTTTCGTGGATATAAAGATTGTTTGAGAACATGGGAATTGTTTGGCTGGCTGTAGGATTTAGTAAATCCTTTCACCCAACAGCCCCTTAGGGTATATTTGGTACGTCTCAATGTAGTTGCAGAGTTGTGGGTAAAATAGTTAAAAAAAAAAAAACTGTTTTGAATATGATAAATAGTTTTCTTTTGAAATAATCGGACAGAAAGCTGTTATACTCTAGCAAATCTAAGTTTAAAATGCGAATTCCCAGTACAGAAATATTTTAAAAAAAACTAGTAAATAGAAGTCAAACAGGATTTTGTGCCGGTCTGAATGCTCTCCAAATAGACTTTTAGAAGGTGTTTGGCTACAAGTAGGCTTTAACTCAATTAGGTTTTAGTAAGTATTGTAAATTTTGATATGAAAATTATTGTGAGTTAAAAACTATTTGACATGGCAATGTTAATCTTGGTAAATATTTTGGATATTTGTTTTAGAACATACGATTTATGAGAGAGGGAAATTTCTATATTTGATAAATCTCGTGAATTGTGAGATTTAACAAATACTTGATTTAATAGATAACATGACTAAAATAAAATTGATCAAAATAGTTGGATTTGAACTCTCCAACATTTTTGATTGGTAGGATTTAAGATAAATCTTTGTTAAAGGCTTAAAGCTTGCCAAAAATTCAATGCCAAATAAGTAATAAATTTTAGAGGATTAAAATCAATGATTTTCTTGCATGTCAGCAATCTAATCTTGCTAAATCATCAAAAATCTATTTGTGAATACTTCTGCTAAATTCTACTTAAATACTGCCTAAAATAGGATACCAAAAACCCTATAGTTGTCACGGGAAAAATTTGATCAGGAGCTCCTCTCTAAAAAAAGCATTGGGATTAATCAATATAATATGACATTTTGTCAAAATAAATTTGCAAGTCAATTTAATTGTCTTATGGTACAACTAATTTCTCTTTTACTTTTATATAAATGTATTGTAGTTTTAAAAAATAATATGCTATTTTGATTAAATGATTTACATTCTCAATGGATTTTTGTATGGGAAACTCTTGGTACAATTTTTTTTTTCATATTCTAAAATCTATTATATTATAATTAGCTTTTGGTAATGTTATCATCTTCAAATGCAAGATTATAACTATCCATTCTCTTTAATATCATTACCACTAGTGAGATGTATGATTTAAGAAACATTAGCTTGTTTGTGTGGGAGAGAAGTTCTAAAATGGCCGTTTGATCATCAATCAAATATATCAAAATTTTCATAATGGAACATCTTTTTCATGATAAATAGTTGTGGTTTCAAAATTTAAAATTTTTGGAATGACTTGGAATCAAGTATATTGGTTGATGATACATGCTAGTATTAGATGGTTTGATTAGTGAAATATACATGTAAAAACTAGCCTTTTAAAAGTTTTTAATATGTCATCCTATTATTCTTGTATTTTTCCTTGGTTTAACGAGTGATTGAATCATCATAAAAACTTATAAAACTCAATTCACATGTAATTAATATGTTGTAGACCAAAATCAATTGTATGTTCTTAAGCTTGAAGATTATATAAAGCGGTTGATGCAAAAATAAAACTTAGTGGAGGATGATCTCCTATTATGATCCAAAATCTCTCTCTCTCAGTCTCTACATACTTATATAATATATACTATATATTATATATATTATATATATATAATATATATATATATATATAAATATTAAGCAAATGTACCAAAATTTTTTGTTATGTTTTTAGATTCATTTTCTTATTAAGATGAAAATGATTTATTTGTTAACCTGAACCATATTTGAAAGTATTATATAAATTAAAGCATATATTTGTCACTAATGTACATTTTCTCCTACAAGAATACATGCATGAATATAATTATGCACACTTTATACATATAATACACCCAGGCAGTCAAGTTGGGCTCTATAAGATGTCAAAACTTGAACTAATTCACCAAAAAATTTGCCTCATCCGGAGAAGCATTCTCATTAATTAGCCTAAATATACACTTCTTGATATTAAGTCACTTGGAAAGGATATATACTCTCATTAAGATGTTCTCAACTTTGAAACTTATCAAGTTTTGCCTAAGTACCTTAACAATTAGCCAATAAGACTTAGAAAATTTTAAAGTAAGTGTTATTAAGCCTTGATATATAATTTTACTTGTATTGCTCAATTGTAGTTGCTCATGTATTGTTGAATCTTGACCTAAAGCTATACATAGAGGTTAGAGGATTAGCCAAACACATTCTAATTGGATCATGTCACATCGCTCATTTACTCTTTAGCAAAAATCCAATTGCATTCTCAAAGCCTCTTTCTTTAGCTTTTCCTACCTCTTTTTAATCTCTTAGGCTTGATCTATGCTTGTTGGCAAGGTTCTTGTCACTTCATGAATGATTTGAATCCAACATTTTTTAATGCACGACTAGCATGAAAATATCAAGATCAAGAATCCAAGTTATAGAGCTTCTGAAAGTGAGAAATCTCAAGTCTTAAGAAGTTGGATTTTGTAACTACTAGGCAGTTGAATCATATGGAGGATCATTTGACAAGAATAATCCTAGGAATTTCTAAGCAAAATTTAAGAACTTTTCTACAAATTGAGTCTCCATAAGAGGATGATTCTCTTATTCATCGACGACAAGTGAGTCTCTAGGCTCTCGCTTCTTCCCAATAATTGATGTGATGTATATCTTAGAACAAAGCACTGTTGAAACTCCCAAACTTCTTTGTGTGGTGAAATGTCGACCTCAATTTTGGGATGTCTTCTCTAGTCAGATTGTAGAGGCTTAACCTCCATCAAAGTTCAAAATCCCCTGCCTTAAGTCTTATATAGGAAAGTTGAATCCCACCAAATACCTCTCTTCTTTATATAAGACTTAAGGAGGCATCCTTATGATAAAGTTGAATCCCTGCCTTAGGTCTTACTTCGCATCAAATTCTTCTCTTCTTAAAATCAAATTCATACTCAAGTGCTAGTTATTCATTGTAACTTTGAAGGAGGTACCCTTGAGATGGGTTTTTCATCTCCCATAATGGCGTATGACCTCAAATTTCAAGTTCAAGAATCAGTTCATAACTTTATTTCGCCAAAGCCTTGTTGACTTAGACACTTCAAAATGGACCATTTAGCTATGCACTTGGTTTGTACTAAGCGAGAATGTTGACTGAGTGATGTGAAACGTAATGCATGGAAACAAGAACTGCTTGGAGATTTCAATATAAGATTGTTAAAGCTTTGCTAGTTATAGAATTAATGCTTCCCAAATTAAGTTCTCGGAATTATCAAGTCGAAATTAAGTAAGGCATGTGGTTACAACTAGATTAGTGGGACAATATCAAATTGACAACATAGAATTAGATAGTAATGTTATGGAGAGAAACAATAATCCACAATTAACAAATAGAACTTTTCACCTTGGGTCTCTCACTCACTCTCTTGTTGGTGGCACTTTTAATGGAGGAAGATTGAGAGCAACCGAGCGATGCCGCTAGGAGACAAATGGCGCACAAAGTGTAGTCCGTTGAAGTGGTAGCCAATGGTAGGCGAGTCCATGGATGACTACGTGAGCAATCCAACGTCTTATACTTCTCCTTGGATCATCAAACGAAGCCGCGGTCGATGTCGGGAGTCGGCCGTCCATGGATGTGGAGAACTCTTCTTCTTGAGCCCTTGAGAATGCTTCTTAGAGAAAGCGCTCCAACAGAAACAAAAATGAAATCTGAAATAAGTTTCAGTTTTGGAAGGAGGGCGAGGGGAATAATTGATGAATTCAAAATAATTCCAAAAGGGAGGATTAATGGGGCGCGGACAATGGGAGGAAATGGGATGATTTTTTGGTGTTAATTATGTCATTGAGAGAGAGAAAGGCCAAAAAGGTGCCGCGCCCCATATGGAGGATGGAGAGAGAGGGATTGAGAGATTATTAGAGTGAGGCCCAATTTTAAGTAAGTAATTCAATTAAATCTGAATTTTAATTCAGATCTTAATTTGTTTTTGATAGCTTTAGTTAACTTCCCAAGCCTTATAGAGAGGAAATCAAATTTTGAAAATTCAAAATTTGACTTTAATTTCTTAATTAGGCTTCGCCTTAATGAAGGGACCCAATTAGGAAAGTGTTTAATCAAGGGTTTGAAATTCAAATGCTATGGATTCAAAATGGGGAAGGCGGCGCGGGAAGGGGGCTGCTGGGCTGGCCGGCGGGAGGGTGGCCGGCGGCGGCTGAGCTGGCCGGCGGAAGATGGAGGCAGGGTGGCCGGCAGCTTTGAGTTGCTTGGCGTGGGCGGCGGCAAGAGCAAGGGAAAAAGAAGAGATGGAATTTTCAAGGCTTCGATGACTACGGATTTACTAACCTCGCTTGTTTCCACGTTGATTTTCCACAAGATTAGATAATTCGAAAACTAGAACTCAGAAAGAGATCTAGTATTCTCCGGCGAACTAGAACTCACAATGAGATCTAGTCTTCTCCGGCGAACTCACTAAAAGATCGTGGATGGAGGAACTCACAAAGAGAACAAGTAGTAAATTTCATTTTATCAAAAACTAACTATTAGATGAGAAAAGGGCCATATATATAGGCCACCAAATGACAAAGAAAATAAAAGACTAAAATGCCCCTTGGGCTACAATAGCGACTAAATACCCATAAGGGCAAAAACGGAAACACATAAAAATCAAATAAACTACTACATAAATGACTCAAAATAAAACTCATGATCGTGGTCGTCGATCTCCGGCGTCTCCTGATGGTACATGTGTCGAAATCTCTGATGATGTCCTCATCATTCTCCCCAGGTGGGAGAAACTCGACCCCGTCGAGTAAGCATCTGTAGAGCTCTCGTACTACTCTAGTAAGTCGGGGTCCACTCGCTACAGCTCGTCACGATCAACCCATGTGTTTTCCGTCTCCGGTTTCCCTGCCCACTGAAC